CTGGGGGGGCCAATGAGGGGCGTTACGATTGGGGGTAATTCTTATTTCGGTTTTACCAGTATAAGTGAAATTGATTATAAAAATTTTCTGTGATTTTTTTTTTTTTTTTAAAGTGTCAGCTATATTCTAGGGAAGAATGCTGTGGGTGTAGATCCATCTGTGAAACCCTGTGGTCGGCTGTATAAATAATTGTCTCTGTTAGACACATGGTATAAGTGAAATTGATTATAAAAATTTTTCTGTGATTTTTTTTTTTTTTTAAAGTGTCAGCTATATTCTAGGGAAGAATGCTGTGGGTGTAGATCCATCTGTGAAACCCTGTGGTCGGCTGTATAAATAATTGTCTCTGTTAGACACATGTAATATGTTACTGCCCCTGAGGTGGGAATAGCCACCACTTTAAGCTTTGTACCACTTCTTTGGCTTGTATATACTTTGGATTGTGCCATCACACTAAGGCTTTGGAGGTGTGGGGAGCCCTCTTCTAGGGCTCCTGTTGATGCTTTTGGGGACATTTCAGTGCTTTATGGGGACAACAGGACAGAGTATTTAAAATCCGGACTGTCCTGGAAACCTCTGGGGCATATGGTTGGCATAGCCATACATGCTGTGAGGCTCTTCCTTGTAACTGCTTAAAGGTGACTTTTTTATGTTTTTAGATTTTGTAGCTCTTAAGGTGGTGTTCAGCACCATCAAGTTAAACTGGAATTACTGAAAGGGAAGGGAATGGATTAAATAACAAGGAAATGATGGAAGCCTCAGACACACTCACCCAGGAACCTACCCCTGCGATAAAACCTGGTGCCAACTCCAACTACACGTGTATATAAGTGATACCACCACGGGATCTAACCACATCAGAAGCTCATACAACTGCACTTCCTGATATATGCCATCAAGTGCCAGAAATGCCTCCCTGCCATATATATTGGCTAAACTGGACAGTCTCTGACACAGGATACATGGACACAAGTTAGATATCCAAAATAGTAACACACACAAACCTGTAGGGGAATATTTTAATCCACCTGGGCACTCAATCTTAGATTTAAAAGTAGCCATTCTTAGTTAGTTAGCTAGTTAGTTAGTTAGTTAGTTAGTTGACCTTCATATGCAATTTTGACACTGTTTCCCTGGGCGTGAACAAAGACATTAAATGGATGGCCCATTATAAAATCAGCCTTCTATATATCTAACACCTCATTTACATCAAAAGCAAGTATGGGACACTTCCAGCCCACTCAATTAGCCTCATTAGTTCATAACTCTGAGATAGTCATAACTGAACAAAACATTCTGGCCGCTTCTTTCAAAAGTTTACAGCTGAACATTAACTTAATACAGCTTTGAAACATCACTGTGTAGAAGAAAAATGCTGCTTTGAACCATCGTAATTTAAATGAAACAAGTAGAGATATAGCTTCCTTGCTTTATCAAATCTTCTTTAGTTTTTCCTTAATATTTTAACATATTACTGCACTGTATTTGTATCTTTAGTCCACTGTGGCTATTTAGTGACTTTAGCAAAATTACAACTTGTTTGAAGA